TTATGGCCTTTGACGCCTCCAATAATAAACAAATTAACAAGCCCTCCAAGTTTTGTTTTTTGCCCCCCCCCCCCATTTCCTTAAAAACCCTGAGATGACGCCCCTGCTTTAGACGCAGGTGGACTTATTTAGAAAAAAGATAAACTTTTTAATAACACTCATTGTTTGTGTACGATTAGCAAGACGGCTTGCGATTGGCTGGAATCGTGGGAGTCAACTTCCGAAAAGCAATAGACTGCTATCAACACGTACATGACCTAAAAAGTACTCGACCTTGGCGCTCAGCTGTTTTTACGGGAAAAGAACTTGGTATTGGATCTATTTAGATTTAAAGATTTTTTTTTTAAATTGCTCTTACCGATAAAATGGTCTCATGATTATTAATAAGTATTGGAGCAAAATATTATATATATGAAGGCCCTATTAGTGCTAATTTTAATTGTATGTATTAAATTTATCAACAATAACAAGGGTCTCGGTAGGGTGTAGGAAAGTGCCTGCTAGACTTCAAAAAAAAAAAAACAACAACAACAAACGTATTAGTATAGTATAGTCATACAGTGGACAATAATTTTATAACTCAAAACTAAAACTGATTTCTATTTGACACTATTTGCTATTCAGTTTGTAGACTAATTATTTTTTTATGTTTCATCACCACACATCTTAGGAGAACGAAAGGAAATACATACAAAATTTTGGAACACCTTCACTTTCCTTTCATTCTTCATGTTTCAGGTCAGGTATATCATATTAATATTTAATATTATTCCATTTTCATTTGGCTTGTTTTCTGGTGATTTTGACAAGTCAATGATCAACAAATAATATCCCTTTTTTTTACAATCCAATTTTTATTACTTAATTACTAAAGTATTTAATCTAGATTTTTATCATACTTATACATTATCATTTGATGACATGAACTATAAACCAGAGAAAATAATTTGTTACAGTTTACTGACCAGTAAAGATTAATCCAAGTAGGAGTCAGGGATTAAAACAACATCTCAAATAGTAAGCCCTAGTCTTCCAAACAAAAGAAAACACACTTCATGCATTCCAACTGGAGGGGTTCGCAGGTAAGGTAAAAATATTTCTTATGAGCAACAACTGATCTCGGTATAAAATATCTGCAGAATGCTAAACCTAAAAATGAAATGTTTGATTTTGGCATAAATATGCTGCTTTTTTGCTCACAACTTTTGTGTGCTTAATCATAGTTGATAGATTTTAGGAAAAATCAATTGTGTTGAAATTGATCTGTTTAAGTCTTATTTAAAATTCCCTGGCTAAAAAGTCTAAAAATTAAAAACAATCTATCATAAATTGTGTTTATATGCCAGATTATTTGAAATTTTTGTTTTTCCTAATTTTTAGCAATTGATTTTGTCCATCACTTCATACTTCTCTTTTAAGTCTGATGACCTGACATGTAGGAAAAGAATTTATCTAGCAAAACTAAATTTTCTTGGATTTTATATAATGTTATCTTTTATAACATGATATGGGGTCGGTAAAATGAATAAAAATTTTAAACCAATAAAACCTGATATTCAAAAATAAAAATTTACTTTGTTTTGACTTTTAACTTTAGAAAACAATTTATATACATCTCTTTTTTTTCAGGACTGGGTGAATCAAGGCCTGCGTCTAACAACAGGAAGTAACGATGCCTGTAAACTATATGACGCCGCAGTTACCCAGGTATTACTTCGTCTATACAAGAGAAAAAAAGACTATTTAACCAAAGTTATTATCTAGTGAGCTAATCTGAATTTATAATATTGGTTTTGATCTAATCATAATTTAGACTATTGGTTTTCCCTGTGGATTGACAACATTTTCTGTGGCATAATGGGAAGGTGGGGAAATATTTTTCTATTGAAAGAGAGAAAGAATATAGAACATGCAAAGGAGCCTCACTAGAGAAGTGAGAGAAATGGAATTGAGTGGAAGAGACTGTAAAGGTGTGCTAAGGACAGAAGCATTTTTTTTTTTTAGTGTTCAAATGCCTATGCATACTGAGAACAAATAAAGCAGGGGAGAAAGATGTATTGAATTTTTTAAGAAAGACAACCAGGAAGTTGTGCCTTTAGCAGGGTTACATTTCCTGATGTCAATAAAACAATCCAAAATATACATTTAAAAAAAATTAAAAGCTTAAATAATAATGCAAATAAATAATGAATGTATAAGCCAAAAGCCTTCTTCAGCACAGAAAAAAAATGCAAGTTTTAAAAAAATTTGAAGTTTAATAGAAAAAAATCAACAACTTGAATAACAGCTTATAGAAATTGGGAATGCAATTTAAAAGACTCTCAACCCCATGTGCCAAATAATTTAAGAATGCCAGTGATTGCATCAGACGAAGTGAATCCCATTAAAGAATGCCAGTAACTGCATCAGACGCAGTAAATCCCTTTAAAGAATGCCAGTTATTGCGTCAGACAAAGTGAATCCCATTAAAGAATGCCAGTGACTGCATCAGACGTAGTGAATCCCACTAAGAATGCCAGTGACTGCATCAGACGTAGTGAATCCCATTAAAGAATGCCAGTGACTGCATCAGACGTAGTGAATTCCACTAAGAATGCCAGTGACTGCATCAGACGTAGTGAATCCCATTAAGAATGCCAGTGACTGCATCAGATGTAGTGAATTCCATTTAAGAATGCCAGTTATTGCATCAGACGTAGTGAATCCCATTAAGAATGCCAGTGAATGCATCAGACGTAGTGAATCCCATTAAGAATGCCAGTGACTGCATCAGATGTAGTGAATTCCATTTAAGAATGCCAGTTATTGCATCAGACGTAGTGAATCCCATTAAGAATGCCAGTGACTGCATCAGACGTAGTGAATCCCATTAAGAATGCCAGTGACTGCATCAGATGTAGTGAATTCCATTTAAGAATGCCAGTTATTGCATCAGATGTAGTGAATCCCATTAAGAATGCCAGTGACTGCATCAGACGTAGTGAATCCCATTAAGAATGCCAGTGACTGCATCAGACGTAGTGAATCCCATTAAGAATGCCAGTGACTGCATCAGATGTAGTGAATCCCATTAAGAATGCCAGTGACTGCATCAGATGTAGTGAATTCCATTTAAGAATGCCAGTTATTGCATCAGACGTAGTGAATCCCATTAAGAATGCCAGTGACTGCATCAGACGTAGTGAATCCCATTAAGAATGCCAGTGACTGCATCAGATGTAGTGAATTCCATTTAAGAATGCCAGTTATTGCATCAGACGTAGTGAATCCCATTAAGAATGCCAGTGACTGCATCAGATGTAGTGAATTCCATTTAAGAATGCCAGTTATTGCATCAGATGTAGTGAATTCCATTTAAGAATGCCAGTGACTGCATCAGATGTAGTGAATTCCATTTAAGAATGCCAGTTATTGCATCAGACGTAGTGAATCCCATTAAGAATGCCAGTGACTGCATCAGATGTAGTGAATTCCATTTAAGAATGCCAGTTATTGCATCAGATGTAGTGAATTCCATTTAAGAATGCCAGTTATTGCATCAGACACAGTGAATCCCACTTATTTCATCATTAAGGGGATGGGATAAAAATTACAGCACAACCTTTCTTTTCTTTTTTTTGAAATAAGACCTGTTAATTTATTTCTGTGCAGTATGCAGGCTGGTATGATGATGACAGCTTAGGTGGAATGGAAGGAACGCTAAACAAGTTAAGGGAGGCAGATCCAAATTTCGGTAATTATTAAAGCTGTGTAATATTCATGAATCAGTAACTATTACATCTTAAATCTTTGAAATATTTATTAAACAATAACTACATCTTTAAGCCATGTATTATTATTGTAACAATCTTAAACATTGACATACATCTTAAATCTTTGAAATATTTATTAAACAATAACTACATCTTTAAGCCATGCATTATTATTGTAACAATCTTAAACATTGACATGAACTATCAAGAGAAAGTTGGGTTTTTTGAAAGACTGTAAATTCTTTTTTTTCCCCTCTTGTTTACTTTATTCATTGTCTAAAATACATCTATTTTTGGCAAAAATGTTTAGTTATGGGTCAAGTGGTCAGAAATGGCCTCGAGTTACTTGGCACGGGTCGCAACACAAAACTAGACACAGCCCTCAGGGATGATGTCAACAAGATGATTGAACTCAGTCGGAGTAATCCTGAGGTCACTCTAAGGGAACAAAGACATGCGACGGCGTTAGGGTGCTGGGCAGCGGGGTGAGTGTTTAAGTTGAAGAAATCAGCTGACAGTGAACTGGAAAACTAATGTTTCTATCGTATCAGTCCAGTATCATAACATAAATTTCCAGTATCGTAACATGAATGTCCAGTATCATAACATGAATGTCCGGTGTCATAACATGAATGTCCAGTAGTTCTTGATGAGTTAGGAACCTTTTAAAATAAAATATAATAACATATTCATTGATTTTAATATATTTTTTGGTAAAAAAAAAAGTACCCATTTTTTAAAAAAATTGTTAACTATATTGATACATTTGTCAGAAAAATTATACTGAATTAGCGTGTCATTAGTCCTGCATCTGAATTATTGCCGCTAAAAGACTTGAGACATTTTTTTTTTCTGTCACTTTGTTTGAAAGATCTGATTTTGCCAAATTTTGTTTAAAATTCACAGTGAGATTGAACATGCTACAGCAGTCTGGGAAAACATTCTGGTAGAGTACCCACATGATGTGCTGGCCCTCAAATTTGCACACGACACCTACTTTTACCTGGGCAACTCATATCAAATTAGGGACAGCATTGCTAGAGTTTTACCACATTGGAAGCCGACCACACCACTCTATGGGTAAAGAGAGATTCATAGCATTAAAATGTTTAATTACCATAGTGACCTAGATATTTAATTACCATAGTGACCTAAAATTACCATAGTGACCTAGATATTTAATTACCATAGTGACCTAGAATTACCATAGTGACCTAGATATTTAATTACCATAGTGACCTAGATATTGAATACCATAGTGACCTAGATATGTAATTACCATAGTGACCTAGATATTTCCATTGAAAGTCTCGTTGCACTTTAATGGTTGGTTACTTATTGTAAATAGTTTCCAGCGGTCATATTTTTTATAGAAAACTGCCTGTCTTGACCAGGTGTTTGTGGTCAGTGTCAGGAGTCCAGTGGGAATTGTTAGAAATACTAAGTTGCCACAAGCAAAGTCCATCTGCCTGCCTTGACCAGGTGTTTGTGGTCAGTCCAGGAGTCTAGTTTGGATGTTTAGAAATACTAAACTGGCACAAGCAAAGTCCATACTTGATCAACATGGACAAGAATGAACAAAAATTTCAAAATATATACCTATATTTTCTAGGCCAAACTTTTTGAAGAAATCTGTGTGGTCGGGAAGGGGAGGCAGTCCACGTAACGTTTAAAATATTAAAACTATTCGCATAAATTACTATAAAAATATTATTTTTTAATTTCTTTAGTTATGTTTTAGGAATGCATTCTTTTGGCTTGGAAGAAACAAATTTGTATCCTGAAGCTGAAACTGTTGCAAGAAAGGTCGGCCATTTTCTCTACTCCTCTAGCAGATTTAAAAAAAACAGATTATGGAACCAGCTTGTTATTTTTTATATCTTTAAATTCCTTAATTGGCCAGACTGACATATAGTTTTAAAATTTCATTCATAATTCCTAAATTGATGAGTAGGTGAAGAGTTCATGAACTTATTAAAAATCTTTCTTGTTTGGTGGAGACATTTACGTCTTGTATCACCAGGCTTTGTCCATCAACCCACGGGACGCATGGGCCACCCACACACTATGTCATGTGATGGAGATGACAGGCAGACAGCATGAGGGCATCTACATGTTGGAGAAAACTGACCAGTACTGGCAGGTATGTGGACAGAGAAGGCAGATAATTCCTTAATCTTGTAGAAGATTCTTGTTGATAAATTATTCAAAATAATAACAATTTGTTTGTGTTCTTCTAAAGATTGCTAATTTTTTTTTTTTTTTTACAATTTTGTCTCACCAACATTATTGTTATGAAATAATACACTTATTATGAGTTAGCCTCAGTTTTTACAAAAAATTAAGAAGAATTGGGTGGTGTGATGGTTTTTTTTGTGTTACAACTTTTTCACTGTCAAAATCTGTGGTAGATTATATCAAAATATCTAACTGAAGCCGGATGATTAATTTTCTCATTTCAGAGATGTGGCATGCTGGCTTGCCATAACTTTTGGCACTGGGCTCTTTATTACATTGAAATAGTAAGTGCCATCCAGGTGTCATTGTTCTACTGGTTTAGGTCGACTTGGATGTTATGGTTAGGCAGACTTGGATGTGTCGCTAAGGAAGTTACAGATGATCGGTTTCTGATATTATTTAAATAAAACTTTAAAAATAAAAAAGTAACACATGCCAGGTTGCCATTCTTCATAAAGTACTTTCCATTGAAGGGGCAACCTGGGGCAGTTGCCAGAGTTTGAGTGTTCAAGGGGCAACCTGGGGCAGTGGCCAGAGTTTGAATGTTTGGGGCAACCTGGGGCAGTTGCCAGAGTTTGAATGTTCGGGGCAACCTGGGGCAGTTGCCAGAGTTTGAATGTTCGGGGCAACCTGGGGCAGTTGCCAGAGTTTGAATGTTTGGGGCAACCTGGGGCAGTGGCCAGAGTTTGAATGTTCAAGGGGCCAAAAATTAAATCTTTAATCTCATATTTTATTTCTACTTACCTGTGCATCTAAAGAAAAAATGAGCTTTTATGAAGTAGACCTCAAGGTAATTTGTATGAGGCCTTAAGGTAATTTGTATGAGACCTCAGGGTAATTTATATGCCATTATTCTGCAAACTGAGTATATTAATATTATTAAATATTTACCTGAAAAAATGTTTGATTGCAGGGAGATTATGATATGGCATTGTCCATCTTTGACCAGGAAGTGTCGGTGAGGGCAAGTAAATCTGGCGCCATGTTGGACGTAGTTGATGTGTGTTCACTGCTCTACAGACTTCAAATGGAAGGTGATGCTTTTATATAGTGCTTGAGCTGGGAGTGCGGCGGTGGGGTTGGTCTTGGCGTTAATTTGGGTTGAAACGAAGTTTTGATAATGGCAGGAAAAGATATAGTGGACTTTGTGTTTTAGTGATGCATTTTAAAATATAACGGTGGATGCCTGCTTTAACAGGATGATCGGGGTCCATAAAATTGATTTGCGTTAATTAATTCTGGGGTCGTGTTGATGATTTGTGGGTTTGTACAAATACATTTTTGGGATTTTCAAAAAGAAGTAAGATATTTTATATGGTTCAAACTATTTTATGATTTCTGTATCTCTTGTGATTAGTGAGTTGTGTGGTGTTGACAATGGGCTAGTTTTAGTGGCTAGTGAGCTGTGCAGTGCTTACTGTTGGGGTATCTTATTGCAGGGGTATCTTATTTCAGGGGTATCTTATTGCAGGAGTATCTTATTGCAGGGGTATCTTACTGTTGGGTTATCTTTACAAGATGATATCTTTTCAAAAGGTGTTGATGTCAGAGACAGATGGGATAGAGTGTTTTCTGTATGCAAGTCCCACCTACACGACCACATAATGGCATTTAATGACCTACATATTCTCATCTCATGCCTCGGGGCTGCACAGGAAAATGCAGTTGCTGAACTGATGCAGTCCATTGAAGAATTTATCAGGTAAGTTGAGAAAACCTCAGACACAAAAGAGTTACCTTATCTCCTGAAGTTAACTTAGCTCCTGAAGTTACCTTAGCTCCTGAAGTTACCTTAGCTCCTGAAGTTACCTGAGCTCTAATTAGCAGGTAATTCCTGTAACTATGTATTAACCTGGCTAATTTATTCAACCATTATACCCATCATCTTATAAGAAATGTAGATGTTTGGTTTATTTCTGTTACCAAGACTAAGTCCTTAAATTTTAAAAGTTAACAAGTGAGCTAAACCCAACTATGTTGTCAAGGCAACTTACAGTTTTTATTTATTAACAGTGGGTCTACGACATATAAATATATGTCAAAATTTCATTTTCAAAGTCACTAACAATAGTGACATTGTTACAACAGCCATGCTATTCACATGCTAGTCATGTTTCATTCTAATTTTTTTTTAAATATTTGGCATTTAGAATTATTTGCCTTTGTGTAAAATAAATCTGTTACTAGTGCTCAATTGATGCAGTGACCAAATAGATATTAGACAGTGTTAATATAATTTGATTTGACTTTCTTTTAAACTGTATTATTTTTAACCATTTCACATGTGTAGTGCTGGTTGAAATGTTCATTTCATTTGTGTAAATTGTGTGTGTTCAAAGGGAGGGCAGAGGAACGAATGCTGAGGTGACCACTCATGTGGGAGAGAAGTTGTTCAAAGCTTTCATCGCTTACAATGATGGGGATTATGCTGCAGCTGTTGACCTCGTTCGACCAATACGTTACAAAGTTGTCAGGATTGGTGGCAGCCACGCACAGGTCAGCTGTCGCAAGCATATTCTTATTGTATCAATCTTTTTTTTTATGATTAGTTTTTTGTCTGAATTAAACTAACGCTGATATTGTAAAATGTGTGTTTCAAACTATTTTGTGTATTCTTCACAGCGAGACTTGGTGAATTTGTTTCTTATACAAGCTGCCATCAAGTCCACTAAGCCCGAACATCATAAATTGGCCAGGTAGATAGATTTTGTTAAAAGACTATAAGAAGTTATTCTTGAGCTAATAGAATTAAATCTCCTCCCCCCCCTCCCCACCCCCCAACAAAAAAACAACAGAAAAGAAATGTATTTATATTATAGTTAATTTTTGAAACCATATCACTAAATGCAATCTTTATCATCTTTGAACCATGTTATAATTTTAATTTAAAATAAACCCCCCCCCCCCCTCCCCCCCCCCCAACAAAAAAACAACAGAAAAGAAATGTATTTATATTATAGTTAATTTTTGAAACCATATCACTAAATGCAATCTTTATCATCTTTGAACCATGTTATAATTTTAATTTAAAATCTACCCTACAGCATATTACGTGGCCTTTTTAATATAATACTGGAAAAATGTGTAAATATTTTGTTGTTATTTCTGCTGTATATGCGCCCCCTGGCTGCTGCGTCCTAGGGCATGGTCTGTGTTGGCCTTAAGGGAAATCTGGCCCTGGATTTATCTACTGTTAAAAATTAACTTTTGACATGAATTCTAAAAGTACTTGACTCTTTTGTTGGCTCACTAGAAATCTTATAAGAAAAAAAAGAACAATTCCAAGAATGTAAAGAGTTCAACGGTCTTTTATTCCTGCCTTTAAAACTGACATTTTTTAAATGTTGACAATGTTCGTCCCACATGATATTCATTGCTGAAGTCAAATAACCAGCATAATAAAAGTGGAGAAAACATTGGCTCTGTCATCTGTCATCTTGCTTGGAATAGATGAGCTTAGCCAATGTTTGTGTTTCTGGTACATTGTGATAGAACCATATCATCTTAACAAACCCCTTTCTGAAAAGTAGTTTGAATTGAAGATATCCCATCTGAGTTGATCACATAGTGAAGATATCCCATCTGAGTTGATCACATAGTGAAGATATCCCATCTGAGTTGATCACATAGTGAAGATATCCCATCTGAGTTGATCACATAGTGAAGATATCCCATCTGAGTTGATCACATAGTGAAGATATCCCATCTGAGTTGATCACATAGTGAAGATATCCCATCTGAGTTGATCACATATTGAATAAAAATTTAAACTATGTTTATTTTCCCAGGGCTTTGTTGAATGAGAGGAAATTGTGGAAGACAAACTCACCAATGACTGACAGACTTTTGTCCAAAGTTATGGATCTTGATGCTGACTAATTGTATGGTTATGTACACTTTTCTATGTTTTCTCTTTTTTTTTAACACTTGACCTATGGAATTTAATAGTGAGAAAATTTATTTTATTTTTTTGGTCATTTTTGAGGTAATTCAAATTGGCCATTATTATTCTTGCCTCAAGTGAATTTATTGTAATGATATAATTATGTGTTCATAAATACAGCGAACATTGTGCAATTAATTAAACTTATTACCTTGAATATTCGACTATGCCAAGAATTAATTAATGAAGTCAGAAGATGAAAACCTCGACAAATGTTATTTTTATCAATTTTGAATTTTTAACCATTAGTTGTCTGTGATTGTATAACTCGATAATATTGATGAGTCGTTGTGGGCTACCCATCGTGTAGAGGCTACCCATCGAGTGGGCAAAGGAAAGGCAGCCATTTCCTCATCATGAAAAATGGTTTTATTTTAAAGTAAATGTATACTCATATTTAAATTTGCATTGCTATAAAGTTAACAGTGGGAAACGTGCTATGTGCATAGAATGTATGTATGAACACCACTTAAATTAGTGTGGAAGGGGAAATGTTTTACTTCTCTTGAACTTTTAAAAAGCTGTGACTGTAGATCGCTTGAATCTTTACAACTTGCTTTTGTTATAAATACATCTTAAGAGGGTTTATATCTTCAGATAATTTGGTGGCTCTGCGCACTATTTGTTCCATATACATCTTGTATCTGTTGGTGACTCTGCGCACTATTTGTTCCATATACATCATGTATCTGTTGGTGACTCTGCGCACTATTTGTTCCATATACATCTTGTATCTGTTGGTGACTCTGCGCACTATTTGTTCCATATACATCTTGTATCTGTTGGTGACTCTGCGCACTATTTGTTCCATATCAGCTGCATCTTGTATCTGTTGGTGGACTCTGCGCACTATTTGTTCCATATCAGCTACATCTTGTATCTGTTGGTGACTCTGCGCACCATTTGTTGCTTATACATCTTGTATCTGGTACGTTTATGGGTGAGCTGCTTTGACTGGCGGGAAGACTGCATCAGAACCTAGTCTATGACATTCCCACACTGAAGCATTATATTTCTTGAATGTCATTTGAATGACATGAATTGTTGTATGTACATATCAACCAATGGATCTATTTTCAAAATAATTTAGAATTGTTCATTATTTAAAGGTGCGCTTTACTCTCACAGTGACATGAAATATTGTATATACATATCAACAAATGGATCTATTTTTTAAAGAATTTATAATAGTTAAATATTTAAAGGTTTTTCTCTACTCTCAGAATGACAAGAAGCAATACTATACACAAATATTTTAACAACTATTTTTTTCCTTGTTGGCCTGATCTCAAACTCAAATCCATCTTGTTATGAGATTAATAATGTGTTTTTCAATAAAGATTTTATTCAAATATAATTCAGTGTTTGTGGTTTTTTCAAATTTTTTTTTAAAGTTCTGTAACGGCTAGAGAAAATTTTTTGATAAATCTCCCTTTGCTTTAAATCAATATATTTTTTAAAAAGAAAATCTTCACTAACTCTTTTAAAGATATTCAAATGTAATGGAAATACAAATACTATTGTTGTATGTATTTAGTATTACATGGATAGTGGCGGTACCCTTGTGGCAAAAAGCTTTTTAAAAGTGGCTTTGGAGTTTAAGGACATACAGTAGTAGAGAAATATGTTGAATCCACAAATGTCAGCATCCAGCACATTGTTTAAAGAATAAGCCAGTATCCACAGGATGTGACATCATTGGTTTAAGTTAAGCACAGGAACAAAAAAAACGGCTCACGTAGACAAGGGTCACTTCTGGAACTCGGCAAATGATAACCATGATGACAATAGCAGACACAAGCTTTGAGATCCTTCCTCAGCTCTGCTTGTCTTTCTAAATTTATTTAAACTGATTTTAATGTTTGATACATGTATATGTTCTCCATCTTTTAGTATTTGCAAGTAGCCGAAGTGTATGACTTTTATTTGACGTTGAAGCTTGTCTGTATATTTTTGTCTACCTTCACAGACTGACCAGCAATCTGGCTGGTAACATTTCCATTTGTTTTATAATTAATATAATTACTTACCATAACAAAATTTCAACTGATTCACATTGATAACTGACTAATTGATCAAAGCCAATTCAAGTGCCACGATTAACTCATCTGTTATAATAACTCAGCAATTAAGGTTATCCACCATCATCATTGTTATAATCGCCATCAGCTATGATTAATTCAATATTTTCAATAAATGATGCAGGTTTCCCCCACAATATTTGACAGCAGACATTAGTTCTTTAACAACTCACATTGTCCTTGCTAGTATAGTGACTGGTAAACACGGGAATTCTAAATTAGCCAAGTATGATGGCTTATATGCTCATCGCTGTTAAAATTTCTTTTGATAATAATCAGAAAATTTAAAGTGAGCAAAAAGATATCCAAAACACTGATAGTTCCCATTTGTTTTGTTTCAAAAGATTTATATACATTGTCTTATTTTTTTATTTGACATCCTAAAGATTTTATGGACTTTACGGACAAGTCATTGCAGGTCAAATTTTGAAAATGACTTAGTATTGGGAAGGCCATCTTAATGTTTTAAACTTATTTTAACACTTTTTGAGGTAAATGAATATATAAATTATATATTGTATAAATTATATATATTGTATAAATTATGTTGTAAAGGCATAAAGCAAATGATTTCAGATTCACATTTTTCACCACAAAAAAAACAACTAAAGGGCACCTACATATATCTTAAGATAATTTATTAACTTTTTCAATTAATGTCATTTTAAATTATTGACACATGTTTATCCATTATTTATTGTCATATGTATCACATAAAATAAATAACATATTAACACAAAATGAGAAGGGAAAAAAATCACAATTTTCAACCGTCACATCAATTTTTAAATTGAATTTGAATTATTTCAGTGATAATTATCAGCACTGGGCTAAGCCTTTGGGAACCCTGAGCCAGCAGAGCCTTAGTTATTATTAAGATAAGATAAATAAGAAAAGATTCTTTTATTGATCCTAAAAGGAAATATTTTTGTATAACATTGTACAAACTCAGGGGCCGTCCCTAAATGAGGTCATGCTATTTTGAAGAATTTTTTTAGCGCCCCCCACCCCTACAATCATCACTAAATTGTAAACACATTTGACGGTTTTATCTGTAAAACTCACAAATTTGTGAACATCCCCCCTCCCCCCCCCCTCGCCCCCCACCCCTACAATCATCACTAAATTGTAAACAAATTTGACGGTTTTATCTGTAAAACTCACAAATTTGTGAACACCCCCCCTCCCCCCCCCCCCACACACACATGACATTGTTTACATAAAAGTTTGCTATCCAAATAGATACATATCCATTTATCCTTGGATTTACCTAAAAGATTATATCATGTTTCCTTTTTTAATCCTTTCTATATAGACTATTTTCAATTTAATTTGTCATAATATAGTTGCAACATCAATGAAACTTGATATATTAAAAAATATAGTTGCAGCATCAATGAAACTTGATGTATTAAAAAATATGGTTGCAGCATCAATGAAACTTGATATATTAAAAAATATAGTTGCAGCATCAATGAAACTTGATATATTAAAAAAGTGACTATTGACTAAAAGCTTGTATGGTCTGTAAAACCTGATTCTACTACAGCTGCTTCAGTACTATCACTATTAGCAACACTGCTTGTGAAAAACAGAAATTTCAAGAGGTCACTTACGCCTGAGGCTGTCCTGCTTTTAGTCTCAGTACCCTGGGCACATTTCCCAAATTTCCCAATGGATTTTCAGTCCCGTTCATCTTAATAGTGAAACTCTACAGCAATTCAACATCTGTTCATGAAACTTAAACTTTAAATTCTCCATTTTTTAAAAATTAAGAGTGCAGATTTTTTATTTCATAAAATAACTTTATATTAATGTATTATTTTAATTTATAAAAGACAAAATGAAGCTTAAAGAAGTTCAGTACTAAACAATTAAAACTTTTTATTCAATTGTGAAGTCTTAAGAATAAATTATTTCAAAACCGTTTGTGCACTCATAGCTTGTCTTGAATGACAACAACTGTGAAGTCTGTATCTGGAAACGAAGAACAGAATGTTTACTTTTGAAAAATTTGGATTAATTAATAGCAGCAGTCTCATATTAATATAACAAAGGGGTAAAATAAGTATAGCAAAAAAAAAGCTAACTGCTTCTTGCAATCTAACATTTTAAATACCCGATACCTATTTTTTAATGCCATAGAATGGAATACATGGAAAGGGTGATTTAATTTTGTAAATATCTTATCCGAAAATGGTATATCTCTACTGTTATTTTTCTTTTTTTTTTGTCAAGTTTTAGAGTTGTGATATAACATTGATTATTATCTTAAATATTTTGTTACATTTGGTGATAGTAGCGATAACTTACATCAAACTCAATACTCTTTGTAAGATTAACAGTACTGGAGAGTATTTGTTGTGCTGTACTATAAAATGGTTGGTGCAAATTTAGTATCTCAAATGATTGTTAAATTTACTTTTTAAATTACTAGGTTTATGAATTAAAATTTTCAATGAAGCAAAGATGTGAGTTTATATTTCTTAACAATAAAAAATAAAACATTTTAGAGCTGTGTCACAAATTGTGTTAAAATTTTACAACTAAATTTATGGATGTATTTATACGACATTAAAAAAACAAATTAAGAAAATCTCAAACCTGGAGATATCAAAAGCTCAAATGTACTTGAGGATGTGCGCAGAAACATTAAGTCATCTTTCGGATCCAAATCTCTTACCATACGCCTTGCTGCAATGGCCAATTCATGGATATTTTTTATCTGTGTGTCTGTGGAATCCGTTATTTCCATTGTCGTGTACAGTGGAAGACCTAACATAAAATAAAATATTTGCTTGATCTTGTATAATTTAAATATTATAATTAGGTGTTAATTTCCCTGAATAATGGTTTGATCAGCCTTGAAATTAAATATATCTATAATTAATTTCAACTTCAGAAATCAAAACCTTGAATGAAATATTTGTTAAAAATTTTATTATGCTAAAATTGTCTTTAATAACTAATTTATTCTCGTACAATATCACTATGAAAATAAGTTTTGCTCCAACAAACCTTTGAGATTTTTAAAGATTTGGATGCTTGATATTCTTTTAAAAAAGTATATATTATATCTTTAAGGATTAGCTCACCATTTTTATTTATAACCATCATGTTACTGACTCCTTTGTGGCTTGTAATGCGTTTCATGATCTCTTCTACATCTGTTGCTGATGACTGATCAAGAAGGATAAGAAAACATTTTCTTTGGATGCTGTCTTGAATATGCATTAATATTATTGCTCATTGAAAATGACGCACAAATTTATCATACTGGTCATAGTCATGAGTCCTAGGCTTTAACTTTAATGATTAGACAGAATTTAAGTTAAGAAGAAAAAAATTATGCATGTAAAGCATTTATTTGGTGTACTGTTATAAAATATTAACTGTTAATATTATGTTAGTTATTTATTAGGTGTAACTGTAAACAAAGACATGTGACATGTCGATGGGAAGTTAACTCTTGTCCAAAATGGCCAATTTAACTTCTTGGTTTTTGATGAGGTTAGCCTGACTGGTCCATACTGATATGATAATATTAATATAATTAGTAATATGATTATAGTTATAGTCATACCCTTCATAGTTTCACTATTCATTATTTCATTGCATATTACTAATTATATTAGTATATATTATATAATTATATTTCTTTAGTATTTATAGTGAAGACAATACTATACTATACTCTATAATTATAACATTAACATACTTAATACATAGAATATAGTGAAATATCATATAAACTATTTATTATTTATTAGTCTACTAATAAATATTATAATATGAATCAATTTTAATCAATATTAGGCATAATAGTAATACTCATTGAAAATAATAAATTATAATGATAGTATTTTGATAATAGTATTTTGATGGCCAGAGTCAATAATTAATGGCTGGTCAGAATGTTAGCACACTTTGTTAGTGCAAGGGAGGTCAAAAGTTGGCTTCTCTTCACCTCTAGATTCTGTTGCAGGTATGGAATAAGGACAAGGTTCAAGTGTGTTGTGCAGTCAAGATAATGATATTGATAGAGTAGGAATACGATATTTTGAAAATTAGGTCAATGTAAAGTGAATAACAACAATAACATCACTGCTTGAATGGATTTAAAAAATCTGTAACATCTATTTTGCATCACAAGTAATGTTGAAAAAGCATGTTCAACAGAACCGACAATGCCCTCTTGAGCATAAGAAATTAGCACCTGCTTTTCAACAAAAAAAGATTTGACCAATGCAAGTAGCTGCAAGGAGATAGAGAGAGCTTATGGCAATTATTGCTTGCACAGACAATGCTTCTATTTTAAGTGCTGAATGGTTAGATGAGGATGATGTTGATTTGTCTGGTATATCAGTGCCACAAGATGAAAATTATAAATCAGCTATGCCCAATCAGGGGCTTCATTTCATGTTTTTTTCAGGGGGTGGGGGGGAAAAGCAAAAGTTGGTCAGCTTGTTAAGTTTTTTATTACTGGAGGCCCCACAGCACATAGCAATTTAAATAAAACATGCAAATTAGGGGGTGGGCAAATGCTTCCCTGCCCTACCCAAATGATGTCCCTGATGCCCATTGTTACGATAAAGCAAACCTGGCTATTCCTTGGGCAGATGATAGCAGCTAGAAACTGTACCATAATTGTCAGCTTTACTGACAATAATCATATTTATAATTTATACCACAAACAATGATATTTAGTCTTTAACAACCTTTCAATTGATTCTGCATTATTTATTATTTAAGTATAAAAACTTTTTAACTTGTTGATTATCAAGCTAAATATGTAATGAAATGTTTTTCCTACAATTTTATTGTCATTAAAATAGATCCGCAGAAAGTAAAATGTATTTATACATTTATTTATAATATTATTCATTTTTTACGCGGGGGGGGGGGGGGGGGGGAAAAATTTGAATATATATATGGGAGAGAAATATTGACATAATTAAATGGGGGGGAGGGGGGTCATTGAAAGTTGTTGACAAGAGTGTGGGACGGGGTCAAAAATTACTTAAAAACTGTTGAAGTAATTAATGGACGAACCCTAATAACTAATGTAAATGAGCATGAGTATGGCACGACACGCGTTGGCTGGCGTAAAACTTTATTGAATAAAACTTTGGTAGACTTTTAATTACAATCGACTCAGTTTGGCTTATGAGCAATATCCAAACTCTTTTTTTTTTAAATAAAAAAATGTGATAATGGTAAGACCATTTTATAAAAAAATAATTACCATTCTAATTCTTCCGTGCGTATTGGCTTGCTAATACTAATACTAAATACTAATACAATTTGTTGACAAACTAAACCGTTGCGAAGTTAGCCGACTTGCATTTTTATAAACCTGACCTATTTAAAGATAGAAACTGGTGGGTAATACAAAACAAAATATAAAATTAAAATTAACAGAAGCATCTAACACAAAAAATAGCGCAATAATACTTATTTACAAATATTTTTCCAAAAATTAATTATAAACAAAAAATACATAATTGTTTTTTATGAATATATTATTTTATGTTGAAATGCATTGAATTGTTTTTTTTCATGTGTTTCTGAAAGCGAAAGAAGGTTTCTACTTTTTTATATTTAAAAAAAAAATAATAATGCTTATTTGTTGAGAGTCCTTCAGTTTGAAATATTAATTTATTAATATGTGTGTTATATCTTATTCTTGTACGTTTAAATTAAATGTGGAATTTAGATCAATTATAATATTATAATATTTAAGTTTTAAAATTTGCCTCAATAAAATTGCTACAGTCCTTTAGTTTATCCGTTGCTGAATAATCTTTTCAGTTCAACTTCTCAATTTTTAATAAATCTGCGGTCTAAAGTAAAACGAAAATGTCGGCTTCATCTGTAACCCCTCCACTTTCGGAAAAAGGAGGAAAACATGGCAGTGGTGTGCTCACTGCATACTTAGTGGCTTACAATGTAAGCCAGATGCTTGGGTAAATATAATTATCAATATTTTAAGCCCTAATTATTAAGTTTAAAGGTATCCAAGGACGCCACGTTATGCGTCAGGATCACCAGAATGTAGGCCATGATGGTCATAAGATGCATCGCATGTCATGGTTAGGTGAATTTTTAATTAAAAATTACCCTGTGCACTTTAGCGTTTGCCTAATCATGTGACGAAGTTTTATTTAGTCATATTAGGTAAATTATTCACTTGAATCTTGCCATATTCCAATCAAGATGATTCATTTTCTGTAGTGTAGTTAAAAATGATTTTAATAAATTTTATGGCAATGATTAAATGAACGAAGTGGATGCGTACACCGCGGCGGTGTACCTAGCGAAACCATCGGCTTTGGCCTGCGTAAACCACGGCGGTGTACCTAGTGAAATCGTGGGCTTTGGCCTGGGTACACCGCTGCAAAAATTTACCATTGGCCTGGTTTTAAGATATTCTGGTTAGAGAAGATCTTGTGTGGTCAAGTGGTAGAGTGGACGCTTGGCGATAATATAGTTTGAGATCAATTCTCAGTAGGGGATCAAGTTTTTTTCCTCCCATTAAAATATTTTGTAGCAATTTAAACAATTTAAATATATGTTTAAATATTAGAAACACTTTATATATTTATTTATATATATAAGTGTTTCAACAAGTTGTACCGGCCTTTGACTTTGAAAATACCGGTAACTTTAGTAATAAGACTTTAGACATTTGAAAACAAACTTAAAGTTTCTGAAAGCGCATGTAATTCATGATGAACATGTATAACAGAAATATTATGAATACTAAGTGACTGATATTCTATTGTATTTCAACATTCTTCGTGTAGTTGAATATTTACATTTTACTTTTACGAACACCCAAAGAAAATACCAGTATGAATAATATTCATGCATATGAATATTAATGT